GCCCCGATGACCGAGGTGGAGAGGGCAGTCCAGCATTTTCGGGTCCGTCTCCATCGGGAAGGAGCAGGGAAACGGAGGATGTGCATGTTCTTGTTTCGGATGGACCTGAACACCCAGATGGGCTCCGCGGTGGCCCCCATGATCGAGAGCCTGGTGTCTGTGGAGGGGGGCTCGTTCCTCTCAGGCTCGGCCCCGCGCGGGCCACTGGAGAGGGAGATCTCGAAGTATCTGGGCCGCAACAAGAACGACTGAGTAGGCAAAGTGAGGACCAGGCCGAGTGGTTTCGCAACAGTTTCAGAGTTGCTGAGTTGATTTCCTCGGGTCGTGTGTCTCGGGACCAGGTGGAAAGGGCCCTCACTAGGCCCCGAGTTTTTGAGGAGAGACCCGTCGGGGTAGCGGTGCCTGAGGCACCAACCGTACCTGTCGTAGTTCTGAATCGTGGTAGAGGCCGACACTCTGGGCGTGGGAGGCGGGGGGTGAGCTCTGGGGGGCGGGGGAAGGGAAGAGGTCGTCGCGCCTAGGTGTGCGGGCCCCCTCGGAGGGCCGCGTGCCCATAGGGGTGCCTGCCAGGCCAGTGCAGTTCGGGCTGTGAGCTTTGTTCAGGCTTGCATCGTAAATGGTGTGGTTTCGAAGGAACCTTTTCAGAGTGCAGTCCGATTTAGCGAGGTTAGGGCCCCTCAGATCCACATGGGGGTGGCGGAGGCGGGGGGGGCGATCAAACCGCCGCTGAGTGAGCCAAGGGGTGTTCAAAACACAACCAAACACGCTCAAAACACAACCAAACGCACGCGGCTGCACAACAATGCGCAACGTCCATGGATGCCGCTATGGAGGAGGGCCGCCACGCGAGACCACTTCGACGCAGCGGGTCTGTAGAATGGGCGCTTTGCAACAATATTTCGGTGCAATCACACAACAGCGTAACAAATATAACGACGCAGAGGTTTCGTACATTTACACAAGCGAACCGCCGCCAGAAGCCTGATCGGACCCCTTGGCGGTATCCCCAAGTCCACTGCGCCTGCAAGCATAAACCAGTTGCAAAATGACGACAGCAACGCATCGTTCCTGCAACGCACAACGTACCACAAATCCGGATCATCATTATTTCGGCATGTGCATATGTTTGTGCGTTTGCACTTTGCAAGCCCCCCGGAGGACGAGCCCCCCGAGGCATCCAAAGGCTTCCAGACATCCCCGACGACCCCCGAAGAGCCCAAGCAGACACCAGGGACCACAAAGGGTCTCCGAGGGCTGCCATGGACCTCCGAGGATCGCAAGGGGGATTCCCGGAGACCACCGAAAGCCGCCAGAGGCAGCCGAAGCCCCCCGAAACCCACCGGCCCCCAAGACGATCACCAGGACCGCGAGCCCTGGCGGCTTCCAAGGGCCCCGAGGACCCTGGAAAGGCTCGGGGCTTCCGAGAGCCTCCAGGGGCGGCCGACAACCTGCAGAGGCTTCGGACATGCGCCGAAGACCTCGCATGACTGCCAAGGACTCCAGGGACGGCCCTAGGAGGAGCGCTGGAGGCCTCCGACGGGGCCACGCCGAAGGGCTTCCCACCGGCGCTTCGGGGAGCCCGCCCTCCCCCGAGCAGCGGGCCCAGGGGGCAAGAGGAGCGGGCGCCGGCCAACCGCCGCCGCGACGACGACGACGACGAGGGGGAGGGGGGAGGAGAGGGACGGAGGGAGGGAAGGGGTGAGGCAGGAAGGGAAGGGGAGGGAAGGGGGGAGTGATGTAGGGAGGGATGGAGAGTCAAGGCGGGGAGGGAGAGGATGGAGTCAAGGCAGGGAGGGAGAGGGTGGACGGGGACCCTATCCTCGATTACCTCGAGAGGCAAGGAAGCGGGTCGGGGAGCCGAGGGCATTCCCAGGGACGTCGCGAAAAGGTCTTTTGAGAGAGCAACGGCCCATCAAGATGCTGTTGTGTAGTAGCGCTTTCTCATGGTAAGCTATATTGAGAGGAATTGAGAATATTTGAGAGATTTTGAGAGGAATTGAGAGAAATTGAAAGAAATTGAGATATAATATCCCGGGGGCGACCCAAATTGAGAGAAATTGAGACAGAAAGGTTCGCTTGGTGAGAAACTTTGAGACAAATTGAGACAACTAGTGCCGTCTGGTTCAGGACAATTGAGACCGCGTAGCCTGACTTGGCGAAGGCAGCTGAGCGTGTTCGATGGCAAACCGCATCGGAGATCCTCGCGGGACCGCGGCCGCGCAGTGGCACCCGGACGCCATCCTCGCTTCTATCCCCTGCTCCTCTTCCCTCCTCTGCTGTCCACTCCTTCCTCCTCGCCCCCCATCCTTCCTCCCCCTCCCTCCTCCCCCCCGCTCCCCTCCTCCCCCCTCCTCCTCGCTCCTCCTGCCTCCCCCCGCCCCCTGGGCAACGACGACAGCAGTAAGAGGCGATGCGCTTTGAACGCGAGGTGCAGCGATGACCCCGGCCTGCCCAGGTAGGGGCTTGGGGGGGGCAGCGGGGCGGGGGGGGGCGTGCGAGGGGCCTCGGACAGGGGGCCAAAGTACTCTCGTGAAAGGGCCCGCTAGCATGCGCCCGTCCCGCACCAGTCGCGAACGCCAGAAACGTGAAGATAGCGGGGGCGGTGTCTAAACGAGCAGCAAGGTCAAACCATGCGCCCCCGCGATGTTGTCTCATTACATCGTGTGCCATTCTAGCTACGAGGATTCAGACGCGGCCTTGCTCAGAGAACGCGTCGTCTAGAGTACGATGGGCCTTGACCTGGGATCAAGAAATCCGGGGCCCCGGCGCGACGTGGCCCCGCGCCCTCCAGTAGTGGCTGAAGAAGGTGGCACCCTTCCTGATTTAGGCGCGCTGCGCGACTCCATGCAATCCACTGCCAATTCTAAGGATCATTCGAGAGCGCGACCTTAATGGCGCATCACTTCGCGCGAGGACAAGGGCCATGCCAGACGACCGCTCCGGAACGCTAATGCGCGCGCGCCCCAAACCTGTTCGCTTCGCCCGAGCACGAAGCCGGCCGTCGCGAAGCCCGCCCAATCACCTCACTGCAACATGGGCACCGCGACGGTGAAAAACTCGCGCGCAATGGGCACCCTCCGAGGAAGATAAAGATCATCTCGCGCCGGACGGCGCGCTCAACTTTCGCCCCCCCCGTCGACGCCACCCCCATGTGGATCTGCATGATGGGGCCTGGCCAGCGTTCAGACATGGACTCCACGAGATTCTGCTCTGCTCTGCTCCTCCTCCTCCTCCTCCTCCTCAAGCCATTTTGGCTCAAGCCGTTCTGGCACAAGCCTACCGTGGGCAGGTGGCGCCTGAACCCATCTTTTCAGCCCACCGTAGGCAGGTGGCGCCTGCTTTCTCGCCAATCAGTTTCTCACCCCAGGTCAACAGCCAAACCTGGGGCCCCCCTCGTTCCATCCGACATGGGCGGCCAGCGACCGCAAAGCCGAGGCAGAGGAGACGGTCGCAAGTACCTCTGCTGCCAATCGGGTGGATGCAAGGGATGGACATGGGCTGACAAGCCGTTCAAGTTCTGTGGGCAGTGTGGATCAGCCTTCCTTGGTCGACGGTCTACAACATCGACCCAAACCCAGGGCGAATCGAAAGGCATTCAGAACAGGTGGCGAAGGCGCACAGTCAGCCCAGCGCCGAAGAGCCACCCCAGAGCCGCGGGAGTGCGAGTCCCTGGGGAATCCGAACGCGACCAAAATGCTGTGTGTACGGCGGCGGTCCAGTTCTGGAAAAATGGAAGGCATCTCAGGGCCCCACTACCTGCAGGCCGTCAGTGAGTTGAAAGCAGTCAAGGCGTCTTCGTTGGCAGCGAAACCTTGGGATCAGCAGCGGAAGTCCCTGCAATATCAGCTCGAGGTGACGAGGAAGAAGCTCGCCAACGCCAAGCAAGAGTGTGATAAATCAGTGGAGGCCATGGTGACATGGGCCAACGAGTATGAGAAGCAGATCAAGCACGTCTCTGATCTGACTGCAGAGGTGCGGCAGTTGGGGACCCAGCACCAGATGGCTGTCCAGCAGGCGCTCAAGGAGCACGTGCCCGAGACCCCCACGCTGGAGTCGTACATTACCAGCCAGTTCCCGCCAGGGCTCACGCCCTCCCCCGGGGCGCAGATGGCGGTCGCGCAGCTCTCCGCCAAGCTGCGCGAGGAGTGGACCAATGCCCAGGCGAACGCCCAGTCGCAGCAGTCCCAGGCCCCAGCCTCGCAGGGCAGCGAGGCGCCCGCGGAGGCCGCTCCAGGGGGGGCCGCCGCCGCGGCGCCCCCCGCAACCCCAGTCGCCGCGGCTCCTGCTCAGCCGCCTGCGACCTCGGGTGGAGCGGCCTCTGCAGGCGGGGGCCTCAGCGCGGCTGCCGACGCGGCTTTCGACGAGGAGCAGTCGGCCATGGAGGAGGAGGTGGAGCACCAGCGCCTCGCGGGCATCAAGCGCGCGGGGGGGGGCGCTCGACCAGGTGCTCAACCCGCAGGGCCAGAACGTCTCGCAGTCGGAGGAGCAGCAGGGCCAGGTCGCTGAACTCCAGAAGGCTGCCAAGACCCTGCGCGTCGCCGCCAAGGGCAAGGGCGGCAAGGGGCCAGACGGCAAGTCGTGTGGGTAACACGGTCAGATTTGCCACGATCAACGGGAGCTGCTGGAGATCCATCAGGAAATTCATCCTGTCTTCAGCAGCTCAGGCAGTAGACGTTATATGCTGCCAAGAAGTGCGAGTTTTGAATGACGCCCTCCCCTTCATTGTGAAGTGGTGTGAGCGCCAGGGGTGGCATGCGATGCTCTCCCCAGCCGTGTTTAGTGATAAAGGGTTCCCCGTGCAAGGCACAGGGATTTTAATTCGCGATGGGCATGACTTCGGAGTATCCAGCGCGCGGCTTCCTGCAGGGGTAGCAGAGTCGCGTTGCGCAGCAGTTTCATTTGAACTTCCTGGACATCGTCCGTTCGTTCTCGTCTCTATCTACCTGGCCGACGGGGTGGGCCTCAACAAGTATAGCTTAGAACTTCTAGCAGGGGTTGCAATGATCCATGACGCTGTCCGACAGCCACTCATCATTGCTGGGGATTTCAACGTCTCGACCAATAAGCTCATCGAATCGAACTACCCTCTGCGTGCGGGCCTCAAGATCTTGGCCCCTAACACTCCGACGTGTAAGATGAAGAAGTCCGCTAGCACTATCGACTTCGTGTTAGCCTCGTCGTGCTTCGACCAGGACCTTTCGGGAGCCACCGTCCTCGACGATTACCCGCTGAGCCCCCACAGGCCCGTCCTGTTCCAGCTTAGGTGTGGTCAGCCCTTCATGGTGCCCGTCCTGGAGAAGCCCCAACCCTTCTCGACTACTAGGCCCTATGGGCCTTCGAAGTTCGCGCCGTCTTGGGATAGGACCTCGGCTGCCCTGGACTTCCTGGACCAGGTCATCGCCCAGGAGAGTGACATAGAGGCCCGCGTGCTGGCCCTGAGCTCCGCGTACCAGTATTTCGCTAACGACATGGCTAGGTCGATCAGCATCCGCACGGATGCGCCGATCAAGTCGCCCACCATGCCGCGCGTAGGCCTGCCCAAGGTTCGTTGGGCACCAGGTGCTGCTCGGGAGGTGGAACCAAGGGCCAGTTGGAGGAGCTTGTCGACCCCGATAAGATGGTTGAAAAACAAAGTTATGGATGTCATCCGAAGGTTTCATTCCAGGGGCGAGTTCTACCTTTCGGAGATTTTGGTCAGCATCCAGTCACCACCTCCAGAGTTAGAAGGCACCGAGGAGTTTGCCCGTCTGCTCGCCAGTGTTAGGACAGCTCTAGGCGCCGCTGCTCAGGATCAGGACAACGGGGTGATGGACCCCAAGCTCGTTTTGAAGGTTTTCGAAGAGCTCGATGAAGCAGTTGATCGAGCGCTGCAAGCCGAGGAGGCCAAGGATCGCCAAAGTGAAACCACCTCGTGGCAAACTGGGTCCAGGAGGCCATGTCTCGCGGGGTGGGGTGGGCACACAGGTGGACCTCTAAGCTCACCAGTTGGCAACCTCAAAGAGTTTGGCGCCCAGAGCTTCAGACATTTTCAGGCCGTCCTTTCGAGCTGCTCCAGTCGGAGGCTTCCCGCTTGGCAGGACTCTGGCAGACCGCGGAGTAGGAGCAGGAATTTAACTTGCCCTCCGCCACGCGTGACTGCTTGGAGCCGGTCACGCCTGGTCAGATTCGGTCGGCAGCCAAAAGGTTTCCCAAATCAACAAGCCAGACATGGGATGGATTTCACCCTCGTCATTTTGCCTTTCTGAGCAACCGGGTGTTGGAGCATGTTTGCAAGCTTTTGGCTGCCATAGAAGAGATTGGAGTTTTCCCGACAGCGATTCGTAGTATTATCATCACCCTCATCGAGAAGCACAAGGCTGACCAGTCTGAGGGGCCCTCGTACCGTGGCATTGGTTTGCTTCCCGCGCTTTGGAGAGTTTGGTCCAAAACCCGCCAAGCTGAAGCTCGCCGTTGGGAGAGGGCCAACAAGAGGCCTTATCTGGCGCATCAGTCTGGCCGAGGGGTGCTCGAAACGGTTTATGCTCAGGCCTTGAAGGCCGAACTAGCAGGCTATCAGGCTGTGCATGCTGGTGGTGTCCTCTGGGATTTATCTAACTACTATGAGAGCGTGAACCGCAATAAGTGGAAGTCTCGGGCCATATCGTCTGGGTTTTCGGAGACGCTAACATGTGTTATGATGAACCAATATGGGGGCCCGAGGGTTGTAGCTACAAGGACCTTGGCAATGTATGCTGGTTGTGCCAAAAGAGGTTTTCCTGCTGGATGCTCTTTCGCCACCTACAACGTGCAAGTGTACACGGTGCCCCCCGTGGATTCCTGGGTTCTGAAGTTCCCCTCCGTGGGCCCCTCCATCTTTATAGACGATTTCATGTTGGGCAGCAGCAGCGCTAGTATCAGACTTTTGGTGTCGGACTTGGCACAGGCCGCCGACGGCATGCTAGATTTAATCGAGGAGGACCTCGATTGCTCGGTCGCGCTGCACAAGGCGGCGGTGTTGAGCTCGTCCGCAGATGTGCAGCAGCGCTTGGCAAAGGCTCTAGGCAAATACAGTGGACCCGATGGAGTCCACCAAGCTCAGTCTGCGCCAAACCTAGGAGTTGATTTCACCATTGGAAGCCGTCTTAGGAAGAAGAATCGTGTGACCCTCAAGAAGCGAACGACCAAGATGAAACGACGTCTCCACCGCTTGGCGCAGATTAGGCGTGCAGGTGCGAACATGCGTAAGGTTTACCAGACGGGGTTGAAAGCGGCAGCCTACTATGGAGCTGAGATTGTTGGCTTAACCAACCCCGAGGTGCACGAGGCCCAGTCCCTGTACCTCAAGATTGTGGGCCCCCGCTGTGCTACTAGGTCCAGGTCTTTGGCTCTCTCGATCCTGGGTGGCCCGACTTGGAGTGCGGCCCTGGGGCCAGCGGTTTATTGGGCTAACCTGATTTGGAGAGTTGCTCATTATCCTGGAACCGTCAGATTCTCGCTTCCTGGTCTCCGTGCCCAAGCCCTCGAGGTGCTCAACAAGCCTCCCAAGAAGTGGTGCCAAATCCGAGGGCCCCTTGGGGCCGCGCTTCTCAGTCTTGAGCGTCTGGGATGGTCAATGCCCGACCCGTTCGTTTTCCAGAACTCGGACGGCCAGGATTTCCCCTTTCATCACGACCTCTCCCGCGCTAATTAAGAAGATGTTGCAGAGCCGATGGCAGCAGCAGTTGGACCTTCGTGCGAGTAAGAAGCTCGGCCTAGACGAGCCGCTCGACACCTCGGTCATGCAGCGCGCGCTGCAGGACCAGTCCATCCAAGGCCACAAGCGCAAGACGCTGCTCTCTTTCGGCTGCCAGTGTATTTGGACCAAAGATAAAACGACGTCTGCAGGGTATGACGGTGAAGTCGTGTGCGACCTATGCCAGGGCCCCGTGGGCTCCATCCCCCACAGACTCTTCGAGTGCCCGCAAACGGAGAACCGGAGGAAGGAGATGTTGAATGAGGGGGGCGTGGAGGAGCTCAGAGACGGGAGGAGTGGATTTCCACATGTCTTGGGATTTCAGCTTCGACCAGAACCGATTGCTCTGAGGCCCCCTGGTTTAGGATTGGACCAAGCGGGGTATTGGTCTCGTGATGGGCTACCCAAGGAGGTGGCCATGAATGGAGAAGTGTTTCACGATGGCAGCGTTTTAAAACCTGGGCCCGCGGTTTATGATGCCCCTGCCTGGTCCGTGGTGAAAATCGACGAGGAGGGCGACCTAGTTGCCTCCCTCTCGGGGCCCGCGGGGGCCAGCCTGCCCCCGACGTCGCCTGCTGCCGAACACTTAGGTTTTCTAGCTGCCGCCTCGTGTCCCAGAGTCACGAGGGCGTGGGCCGATTTCAAAGGTATCCTCTCGGTCCACCAGAGCCCTGAGGTTAGTAGGAAAGAAATGTAATCTGGAGTTTCTGTTTTGGCCAGGTCCCAGGCCAGTTTCGGGTCCCTCGAGATTGCGAAAGTTAAGGCCCACCAGGATCTTGAGTCCCTGGAGGCTGGCTCGAGGGACTGGTTTCTAGCACAAGGAAACGACTGGGCGGACAAGGTGGCCAAACATGCTGCTGCCTCGTCCCCAGCCCCGTCAACTTTGGAGATTGAATTTTATAAAGAGACTCGCAGCAGGGTGCAGAGGTTCGTGCGATTTGTTGGTGAGGCCCTCTCGCTCTGGGCGCCGCTGGCGCCCAAGACTGGGAAGAAAGCCTTTGCCACCCCAGCCAAGAGCCTCAGTCCCCATGTGGGGGCAGCGGGTGCGGTCCATGAGTGGCTTACCCCCCCACCCCCTGCTGCGGGTCCCAGGCGTGCGAGTGCACGTGCCAATGTAAGTAGGCACGCTTGGGGCTGGCTGAACGGTCACTGGCTGTGCCTGCTATGCCATACTAGAGCTAGAACCGACGCCACCAAGAAAGCCCGCACGGCGGAGCCGTGCCCAGGCAACTCGGCGACTCTCTCACAATTAATTCGAGACCCCCAGAAGCACCAACTTATGATATGTGATTATCTTGACATTGCGTCCTTCATTGTAGTGTGCCGAAGGTGCGGCCGATATACGGAAAGCAACCTCAAAGGGCTCAAAGGTGAATGTATGGAGCGCTTCCAAAGCAAGTTCTCCCAAGGTGCGTGGTCTCTTCTGTCAGGCGGCCGACATCCCAAGAGTAGTATGAAGGCCCGCCCCCGACTTGCCCTCCCCTTTCCTGCTGTCCAGCTCCTCAAGGAGGGAGCGGCGAGGCAGGATACATGTGAGCGTCAGAGGTGAGCGGATGTAACCTTTAGGTTTCGGTTAGGGTCGGGTCGGCCTAACCTTAGCCTTCCTCATTAGCCTGTGATGGTCCTCCTCCCTCCTCCTTCTCCTCCTCCTCCTCCTCCTCCTCCTCCTCCTCCTCCTCCTCCTCTCCTCCTCCTCCTCCTCCTCTCCTCCTCCTCCTCCTCCTCCTCCTCCTCCTCCTCCTCCTCCTCCTCCTCCTCCTCCTCCTCCTCCTCCTCCTCCCATCCCCATCCCCATCCCCGTCGGTATCGTTGATCCGATCCCCATCCCCAATCCCATCCCCTGCGAGACCCCCACCAAGTTGCCACCCCAGGCGGGGGGACATCCCTGGAAGCCCGACGGGAACGGCCTGTCTCCCCATCCAGGGGTCGTACATCGGCCAGTGGGGCCCAGGCCACGCCGCCGGGGATGGGGATCGGACAAACGATGATCATTCCGCCGGGGAATCCACCGTCGCGCACTCCAGGACAGGGATGGACCTAGACGGTGTTTTGGCGATTTCGTGGGCCGTTTTCGTTGACTGAAGACCAAGCGAGGGAAAACGATAACAACACGAAAAAGAGAATCACCGTTTTGGTTCAGCCCTGGTCCCAACCTTCTCGACTTCCGCCGTGGAACCCACCAGCTCCACATCGGGTCGTCCGCCACCTCGATCGAGCCCACCAGCTCCGACGGGTCCGCTCCTCGGGCCCGGCCGTCGCCCTCCGTGGGAGGGAGCCGCCCGCGGCCTCGGGAGCCTCCGCCTCCTCGCGCAGCGCGGTGCCGTGCGGGGTCCCCTCCGCGTCGAGCCGAGTGCCATCCAGGACCTGCGTGGCCTCGGCGCTCTTCGCGGCCCCGTCCCCCGAAGCCATCTCCGCCTCCGGGACCAGCACTTCTGCGTAGCTCCTGGCCGACACCATCTCCTCCTCCTCCTCCTCCTCCTTCCTCCTCCTCCTCCTCCTCCTCCTCCTCCTCCTCCTCCTCCTCCTCCTCCTCCTCCTCATCGGTGGCCCTGCAATCGGGGCAGCGCATGATGTCCTGCTTCGTGAGCTCGCCCATCTTGTGCAACCGAGCCGAGTGTTCTTCAGAATGAGCACGTCTCCGTCGCTCATGGCCGAAACCAACACCTTCACCTCACGGGTGGTCTCGAAAGCAGGGCCGCTTCTTATGTCGGAACCGTTCATGGTCATCCCTTTGTGGCGCCGAGTGCTCTCCAGGCCTCGCCCGCAGCCCGCGCCCCGGCAGCCCCCAGCCTCGCCACGGCAGGGGGGGGAGCAGAATGGCCGGGGCTCCCAGGACCAGGATGTCTCCGTCGCCCATGGCTGGCACGAACTCCTCCACCTCATCGGTGGCCTTGCAGTCTGGGGCACGCCGGATGTCCTCCTTCATCTGCCCCCCCAGCTCCTTCGCCACTGGCTCCAGCAAGAGCTCGCACCCTGGCCCACTGTTGACCCCCGTGACCGCCTCCGTCTTCTCGATGGGCCGCCTCGGCGCCTGCGCCCGTGCGGGGGCTGGCGGCTGCAGCCCTCCAGCCTGCCCTCGACCGCCTCGCACGCCCGGGGGCCTCCCGAGAGCGCCTTCTCGCAGCCGTGGGGCACCTCGGACTCGTCCACGCCGGTCTCCTCGTGCCCCAGCCCAGCCGAGCTGCCTCCCCCGCCGCAGGACGCGGCGGGGCTGCTCTCGCGAGGGCGCGCCTCCCCCTCCGAGGCCCACTTCCCCATCACCGTGTGCCTTCGAGCCACCCGTCGAGTCCGCCCGGTCCGAGAGGTCCGCCTGCTCGGGCACGTCCGCCGTCTCGATGGAGTCCACGCCCGCGCGCCGGCATCCGCGGCCTCGCTGCCGCCGCCTCTTCTCCTCGGGCGGCAGGCCGAGCCCCCCCCGGCGCCCTCGCCGAGCTCGACGTGGGCGGCGAGGTTGTGGTCCAGGCGCACGGCTCCTGGCACTGGCCGCCCAGAGACCAGCAGCACCAGCGTCCGCTCGATCGCCAGGAGCCGCGCCGAGATTTCCAGCTGGCGAAGGATGATGCTGCTGCTGCTGCTGCTGCTAATGATGATGATGATGATGATGATGATGATGATGATGATGATGATGATGATGATGATGATGATGATGATGCTGATGCTGATGATGACGATTTTGACGAATATGATGCTACTGATGATGTTGATGATGATGCTGATGATGCTGATGATGCTGATGATGATTCTG